GATGACTGGGTTTTTTATTATTAACGAACTTTTATTGCAAATATCGGATCACCACCTTTCTAAATAGAATTGATTGACAGGTATTTGAAGAGCCAAATAGACCCTAAGGAGAAGCATAGATTTCACTTCTTCAATAGCTTTTTCTTTAGGAAGCTAGCTGACCTTGATAAAGATCCATCAAGTGCTTCTGATGGCAAAGCTGCTTTTCTTCGTGTTCGAAAATGGACTCGGAAAGTGAATTTATTTGACAAGGATTATATCTTCATTCCTATAAACTTCAAGTAAGCCTTTTCTCTTGAAGGAAGACTCTTTTGTGTGATAAGCTAAACAGCATCGGAAGTGGGTATCCTTTTCAACTTTATATGTTTGTTATAACAGCCTTCATTGGAGCTTAATGGTCATATGCCATCCTGGTGAAGTGGCTAGATATAGCGGTAAGTTCTTCACTCATTGGGTCAATTTGTGTCTCCCACCAGTGGTAACTTCTGTCTTGTCACAGATGAAAACCTGATCAAGTCAACAAAAGTACCGTGTATATTGCATATGGATTCTATTAAGGGAAGTCACGCAGGCCTTAAAAATCTCATTCAAAGGTATTCCTTTGTTTTTATAGCTTTTATCATGTTCAATTTATTGGTTTGAACAGTGGATCTTAGATATCCGAACAAAGGTAAATCTTCCATGTCATGGTTAGTTTGACATTGCATCTTATTTTTATTTACTAACATAGAATTAGTCTGTTCCCTGTTGAGAAGTTTGATGAAGACTTCAGAAAAGTTTTCAGTATTGCCTTCATTTGCATATTGCAACCAACCTCTTTTAATCTCTCTGTTAAGTAATTTTTTTTTATTGCTCGAGTAATGTGTGTATATATATAAGGGGCGTTTGCTTCTAAAGGTTGGGATGAGATTTGAGATGGGAAATGACATGAGTTTGTTTGGGGGTGGAGATTTAACTTATTGCCTCGGAAAACTCTTTTTCCAGGCAACAAAAAAGTTGCCATGGAAGTGATCTTAAAACGCATCTTTTTTTTTTTTTTTTTTTTCCTTTTTCCTTTTTTCCTTTTGTATTATTTCTTCCTCCACTTATTTATTTATTATTTTTCATTTTTTTTTACTTACTTACCATTTGATATGGAAATTGGAGGAACTTATTCACAAAAAATGTTTCCCGGGGGTTTTGGTTGCCACCATTTGATATAGCAGCTTGAAGTAGGATCTTTCATAATCCTATCAAAAAAGAAGGATTATTCACAATGTTTTCCTCTTTTTGACCAAGAATACAACATTGAGTTGATACCTGCAAGTTTGAATCGAGGCTATCGATAGGTTCAACTTTCATTCTCTGTTCAATGTCTTAATCTTGCGATGGAGAGCCCAGAAAAAAGGACCTAACATTTTTAGGGATCTTCCATCTGCGAGCAAACAACACAATTTTTTTAGTTGGTATTCTGTCCTTTTTAAAATGAAGGTAGTTTGCCGTCTTATAAAAAAAGGTTTTTTTTTTTTTTTAGGAATTTGCTGATGCTGTTTGTTCGTTCTTACTACTTTTTGGCTTTTGCATTTTGTTTTCATTATGGGTTATAAAGCAAGCCAAATCCATTTATTCATTCCATCATTTCTGCGTTTATAGTTTCAATTTTTTTTTTCTTTTGCAAGTTCCTTCTTAATCACTGGGACCTCGTGATGCAATATATGACAGTTATTTGCTGGAAGAATGGAACGAAAGAAACAAGGATGCATCTGAAGATATTTCATCAAAGTTTAAGAACCTTCGGTTTCTCCCACTCGAGGTACTTCTGGCTGTGAGAACTTCATTATATTGATATTCAAGAACTTTCGGTTTTAGGATACTCATGCATCTGGTTCCTTTATTGTAAGACATGATGTTTGGTAATATGGTCCTACGTTTATTTCTCTTTATCTTTCCTTTTTTCGGGGGTTATCTTACACATCCATGTTTTATGTCAGCTTCCGCAGCAGGAAAATTCATTTGATTGTGGATTATTTTTGCTCCACTATCTAGAACTCTTTTTGGCAGAAGCTCCTCTTGATTTCAGTCCGTTCAAAATCTCCAAGCTTTCAAAATTTGTAAGTTGTCCGCTTTGGACCCTTATTTGGAAATTTTGACTTCTATATCTTAAATATAAGAAAATTTCTAGTTAACCACCTCGACTTAATAAATTTGTTTTTTTTTCCAAACAATTGTGTGAGTTGCGGAAAAGATGCACGAGATTGGGTTTATTATTCTTATGGCTTATGCCTAATTTATAAATCCTTAATTCTAATTCCTTTATTATCTTTATTGATGCCGTCGCATTTCATTTCGTCTCGATCAAATCCCTTTCCAGATTAGTCTCGAAGCTTTTTCCACATTATGAACTTTTCACTCTTCATCCTTCTGTTTTGTTAATTGGACATGCGGTGTGAAAGCCTTGTAGGGTGCCATTTCTGATCTCACCTTCACAATTGAAAGCATTGATGACATTCTTAGATCACCACCTCGACATGGCATTCTCATATGATTCGTACTCAATAGGTAGATTGACACGTGTCACAACTTTGGGACTAGGATAAATTTGAACGTTTATTATTATTATTATTATTATTATTAAGAAAATGTTAGAAAGATAATATAGCTTTTAGATTTTTTCTGCGTTGTGTGTGTGTGTGTGTTCTATCAAAGTTTCTGAGTTCACAAAAATGAACTGTTATGAAAAAGAGAGATATGAACTAATCTTCCTTGGATTTACTTTTATATTCTGAATTAGACGTTAATATTTTGATTGTTTTTTTTTCAATGAATCTCCCCAGCTTAATGTGGATTGGTTCCCACCTGCTGAGGCTTACCTCAAGCGAACTTTAATACAGAGATTAATTTTTGAAATCCTTGAAAACCGATCTCGAGAAATGTCCACCACTGCTTGCAGTGATGATCTTTCTAAATTTCCATCAAATAATGAGGATGAAGCTGGTGTGGAGCTTGTTCCGGAAAGTGGAAGACTGGCAGAGACATTCGATCACAATTTGTCAAGCTCACAAGCTGCTGATGGGATTGAAATTACTCTGTTATCTGAATCTTCGAGTAGACATAACCACTTTATCGACGGTTCTGGTTTGGTTGTCAGAGAACTATTTGAACCAGGCACATCGAATGGATCATTACTTGGACACTATCAACCTTTTGCCCAGACATCATCGTATTTTGATACAAATGTTACCGTGCTGGAGGTATGTTTTAGTTTCTCTTATTATCTTTTGCCCAACAATAAAAGAAGCATATTGGTGCAATCTCTTACACAGTTTTTTATATTTTGGTGTGTCGTCACTTAGGCAAATGTATATATATATATATATATATATATTTCAATTATGATTGGTGGTTCATACTTGTGTCAACCTTAAGAAACATGATGAAAAATGGACATAATATTTCCTTGCTATCTTTATGCAATTCCAGTTCATTAGTTCTAGATGATACCTGTTCCTGTTGAGAACAATTGGTAGTATGCCTACAGCTCTGATGCTATAAAATTTTCTTATTTATAGGAAGATGCAGATACGGAAACTGGAGACCGTTTCATGTACTTGCCTTCCGAACAGGATGGTTTGCAGCCAGTTGATGCAATGACATCTCAAGCTTGTCGTTTTCCAGGTTCGTCAAGAGGCCTAGAATCCGAGACTGCTTTTGACTTGTGCATGTCTATTCAACCAGAGCATGGTAGTGGCATTGCCTCATCCCCCTCAAGTCACTCAGATGTCTTAGAAGATATGGGAATCATTGAAAGTTGCGATGTTAGGGAACCAAGCCCTGGTAACAAAGAAGAAATTATCAGAAAAAGGCCCTTACCAATTGAGAACCTGGAACCTATAGCAGAATGCCCTACTTCTGCTGCTACCACGACACAAGATACCGACACCATTGTCGTTTCTAAAGATACTAATGATACTTGTGAAGACATGGAAAATGATGGTTCTGATCCCCATCGTAAAGAAACTGTCTTTGCATCACCGTGTCTAGATGAGGATATATCAACCAAAACAGACGTCGAACATGATGATGCAGTGGTGGATGCTTCGGTTACTGAGGTCGACTTACACGAGCAACCTCCTGCCAAGAAACCGAGGCATTTTCCATACCCCGAAGAAGCAAGCAACGGTCTCGGAGACGTTCTGCTAGAGGATGCAGACTTATAAGATGGAAGGTTGGTGTGTTCTTTTCGACATATTTGTAAATGATCATGTCAGTAGGATTTGGCTTGCCATGCTGTCAATAGTGTAATGGCTCCATATCTGCTTAATTAATACCGATAGATAATTCATTTGGGTAACGTTGATGTAACCCATGCTAGTTATATCAAGGATTAGTTTTAATTCCTCGCCATCACCAACATCACACTGTTCTTTTCTCTTCTTTTCCTCTAATTTTGCCATTTTCTTTTATTTTATCATTATTTTTTATTGAAAGAATCAAAGTTTTATGTAACTATTTGCCTTACAGCTGCAAGCTCCTTCCTAAACTCAACGCATATTGTCAATAGCGATTGTAGTAACTATCATTGATATTTTTGGTGTTAAAAAAAAATATAATTTGATCTATTGATTTTGGACTTAGCTACAATAGAATTTTGTTTGTTTGTCCAATTTGATCTATTTGACCTTTTAGGAGTCGTATTCAAGTATTTGTCCTCTTAAAGACCCGTATTTAAATATTTGTCTTTTTAGGAGGCGTTTGGTTGGAGATTTTCTTGAACATGAATGAACATAGACAAGTTCATTTATTATACAGGTTCGTTGAACAGAATTACATTTCTTCTTGACAAAAGTTTTAATTTCTAAAGTGTATTATTCATAGTTATCCTTAAAGGTTATTCTATCAATTAAAAAATGTTAAATTCTTAAAGTTTGTAATAATTTAGTCGCTCTGAATGAATTATTTTTCTTCTCATAATATAAGGTAAAAAAAAAAAAAAAAACCTGTAAAACAAAACGGTATCCGATATACAAACTATATCATTACTTTAACGAAGTCTAAAATTGATAGACAACAATAAGATTATGAATGTACGAAATGGTTAAAATAATTGTAGTTGCCTTTTCCTTTTCTGAGAAAGTCAGCGTAGTGGAGACTTTCATAGGCCAATGTGCCTTTGGATCAAGATACATTTTTTTTTTTTTTTTTTTTTTTTCACCAGC